ATTTCTCTGCAGAAACCTTAGAAGCTAGGAGAGAATGGAACGACCTATTCAAAACCTTAAAACACAAGAATCTTCAGCCAAGAATTCTATCCAGCAAAAATATCCTTCAGGTACAAGGGAGAAATTAAATCTTTCCCAGACAAACAAAAGTTAAGGAACTTTGGAGCCATGAGACCCCCCACTACAAGAAATCCTCAAGAAGGCCCTCATACCTGAAAAGAAGAAAAAAGGAGAAAGGGGTCACAAAACAGACTAAGGAGATAAATAGGTAGACAATCAGAATAGGATAGCAGATATTCAACTGTAGCATTAGGCAGGAAAACACCAAAAACAAGGACAATCTTGTCACTTTAACCACAAACTCACAACACAAGTTGGAATAAGATATGAGAAAAACAATTTAGGAGAGGAGGAGGAAAGGGACTGAATCTATTTAGACTAAGGAAATAAGAGACCATCAGAAAACGGACTATCTTAGACACGAGATCCTGAACACAAACCTCAGGGTAACCACTAAAAAAAACCAGAACAGAGACAAAAAAAAAATAAGGAAAAAACAAAGAAACACATCATAAAAAACTACATAATTCAATGGGTAGCCCAAAATACACATGACGAGAAAGAAAGGAAATGCAGGCAAACCAGAAAACGAGCGATATAATGACAGCATTAAGCCCTCATACATCAATAATTACCCTAAACATAAATGGATTGAATTGTCCAATAAAAAGACACAGAGTGGAGAGATGGATTAAAGAACAAGACCCAACGATTTGCTGTCTCCAGGAAACACATCTCAGCTCCAATGACAAATACAGGCTCAGAGTGAAGGGATGGAAGACGATACTCCAAGCTAATGGCCAACAAAAGAAAGCAGGTGTCACAATGCTTACATCAGACAAAGTAGCCTTCAAGATAAGACAGATAGGGAGAGACAAAGGGGGGGATATATAATGATCAAAGGGACACTACATCAAGAAGAAACAACGCTTATAAATATCTATGCACCCAATACAGAAGCACCACAGTTAATAAAGCAACTATTAACAAGGCTGAAAGAAGATGTTAATAATAACACAATAATACTAGGGGACCTCACCACCCGACTCACATCAATGGATAGATCATCCAGACAGAAAGTCTACAAGGAAACACTGGAATTAAGTGAAAAGCTACACCAGTTGGACTTAATAGACATATACAGAACACTCCATCCAAAAACAGCAGAATACACATTCTTCTCAAGTGCGCACGGAACATCCTCAAGGACAGACCATATGCTGGGAAACAAGGGAAGCCTCAATAAATGTAAGAAAATTCAAACAATAACAAGCATCTTTTCTGATCATAATGCTATAAAGCTAGAAATTAATTACCAGAAAAAAGCTGAGAAAAGGACAAAGATGTAAAGACGAAACAACATGCTATTGAACAAGCAATGGATCATTGAAGTAATTAAAGGAGAAATCAAAAAAATATCTGGAGACAAATGAAAATGGTAACATACCATACCAACTCATATAGGATACTGCTAAAGTTCTATTAAGAGGGAAATTCATCACAATACGAGTACACCTTAACAAACAAGAAAAACCCCAAATAAACAATCTCAAATTACACGTAACTAAATTAGAAAAAGAAGAACAAAGCCCAAAGTCAGCAGGAGAGAAATAATAAAAATCACAGCAGAAATCAATGCTATTCAAACAACAAAGGCAGTAGAAAGGATTAATGAAACAAAGAGCTGGTTCTTTGAGAAGATAAATAAAATTGACAAACCCCGAGCCAGACTTACAAAGAAAAAGAAAGTTCAGATAAACAAAATCAGAAATGAAAGAGGAGAAATAACAGACTCCACAGAAATACAACGGATTATAAGAGAATACTATGCAGAACTATATGCCAACAAAATGGATAACCTAGAGGAAATGGATAAATTCTTAGACTCTTAAAACCTCCCAAAGCTGAATCAAGAAAAACAGACAATACGAATAAACCAATCACAAGGAAAGAGATTCAAACAGTAATCAAAAGCATCCCAAAGAATAAAAGCCCAGGACCAGACAGCTTCCCTGGGGAATTCTACCAAACTTTCAGAGAGGATTTGATTCCTGTTCTTCTCAAGCTATTCCGAAAAATTAGGGAGGATGGAACACTTCCTAACACATTCTACGAGGCCAACAACACTCTGACACCAAAGCCTGACAAGGATAGCACAAAAAAGGAGAACTACAGGCCAATATCGCTGATGAACATAGATGCAAAAGTCCTCAACAAAATTTTGGCAACTCAAATTCAGCAATTCATCAAAAGGATCATACATCAAGATCAAGTGGGATTCACACCAGGGACACAGGGATGGTTCAACATCCGCAAATCAATCAACGTGATACACCATATCAACAAACTGAGGAATAAAAACCACAGGATCATCTCAATACATGCAGAGAAAGCATTTGACAAGATCCAACAGCCATTTATGATAAAAACTCTTAATAAAATGATAGAAGGAAATTACTTCAACATAATAAAGGCCATATACGACAAACCCACAGCCAACATCATACTCAATGGGCAAAAACTGAACACCATCCCCCTGAGAACAGAATTAAGACAAGGATGCCCTCTATCACCATTCTTATTCAACATGGTACTGGAGGTTTTGGCCAGAGCAATTAGGAAAACAAAGGAATAAAAGGAATCCAAATAGGGAGTGAAGAAGTGAAACTCTCACTGTTTGCAGACGACATGATCTTATATATAGAAAACCCTAAAGAATCCATTGGAAAACTAATAGAAATAATCAACAACTACAGTAAAGTTGCAGGGTACAGAATCAACTTACAAAAATCAGTTGCTTTTCCATACTCCAATAATGAACTTACAGAAAGAGAACTCAAGAATACAATTCCATTTGCAATCGCAACTAAAACAATAAAGTACCTAGGAATAAAATGAACCAAGGACGTGAAGGACTTCTATGATGAAAACTTAAGACATTACTGAAAGAAATTGATAATGACCTAAAGAGATGGAAACAGATTCCTTGCTCATGGATTGGAATAATAAACATAGTTAAAATGTCCATACTACCCAAAGCAATCTACAGATTCAGTGAAATCCCAATCAGAATCCCAATGACATTCTTCATGGAAATAGAGCAAAGAATCCTAAAATTCATATGGGGCAAACAAAGACCCCAAATTGCTAAAGCAATCCTGAGAAAAAAGAACAAAGCTGGGGGGATCACAACCCTAACTTCAAAATGTACTACAAAGCCAGAGAGATCAAAACGGCATGGTACTGGTACAAAAACAGGCACACAGATCGATGGAACAGAAGTGAAAGCCCAGAAATAAAACCACACACGTATGGACAGCTAACCTTCGAAAAACGTGCCAAGAACATACAATGGAGAAATGATAGTCTCTTCAATGTATGGTGTTGGGAAAACTGGACAGCCACACGCAAACGAATGAAGGTAGACCACTATCTCACGCCATACACAAACGTAAACTCAAAATGGATCAAAGACTTGAAGATACATCCTGAAACTATAAAACTCTTGGAAGATAATATAGGTAGTACACTCTTTGAGATCTTCTCAAAAACCACATCTTCTCAGACAAGGGAAATAAAAGAAAAAATAAACAAGTAGGAGTTCATCAGACTAAAGAACTTCTGCAAGACCAAAGAAACTAGAATCAAATCAGAGGGGCTGGCCCGGTGGCACAGAAGTTAAATTCGCACATTCCACTCTGGTGGCCTGGGGTTCACCGGTTCAGATCCTGGGCGCAGACATGGCACCGCTTGGCAAGCCATGCTGTGGCAGGCGTCCCACATATAAAGTAGAGGAAGATGGGCACGGATGTTAGCTCAGGGCCAGTCTTCCTCGGCTAAAAGAGGAGGATTGGCAGCAGATGTTAGCTCAGGGCTAATCTTCCTCAAAAAAAAAACAAAAAACAAAGAGACAACCCATTAATTGGGAGAAAATATTTGCAAATCACTTATCTGACAAGGGGTTCATCTCCATAATATGTAAGGAACTCACACAACTGAAGTATAAAAAACCAAATAGCCCGATCAAAAGAAGGGTAGAGGATATGAACAGACATTTTCCAAAAGAAGATAGAACTACCATACGATCCAGCTATCCCACTACTGGGTATCTACACAAACAACTTGAAATCAACAATCCAAAGTAACATATGCACCCCTATGCTCATTGCAGCACTATTCACAACAGCCAAGACATGGAAGCAACCCAAGTGCCCATCGACTGATGATTGGATAAAGATGTGGTATGTATATATACAACAGACTACTACTCAGCCATAAAAAAGGGCAAATTCACCCCATTTGCAATAACATGGAAGGACCTGGAGGGAATTATGCTTAGTGAAATAAGCCAGACTGAAGAAAGACAAACACCAGATGATTTCACTCATATGTGGAACATACACAAATACATGGGCAAAGAAAACCGTTCAGTGGTTACCAGGGGAAGGGGAGTGGGTGGGCACAGGGGGTGAAGGGGAGCACTCATGTGGTGGCAGACAAGAAATAATGTACAACTGAAATTTCACAATGATGTAAACCATTATGAACTCAATAAAAAAGCGCCCAAAAAAATGCCACAAAGAAATCAAAAAAAGAAAAAAAGAAGAAACCATGACACCAGTGGTTGTCAAACTTTGTTGTCCATCAGAATCCTGTCCACCGCTTTTGTTAAAACATAGATGTCTCGGCCCAATGCAAGAGCTTCACTCACTATGTCAAAGATGGAGACAGAGAATGCACATTTCTAACAGACTGATGGGGATGGTGTTAGCACTAGAACTGCATTTTTACAGAAACCACACTGGATAAAAACCCATTTAGTGCAGAGACTAGTGACTATTTCCACTGTGTGCAGATTTCACTCCACCAGTAGTGGAACACAGTAAACACATCATATATATCTTTCCCGTAAGAGGCTACAGGAAGGATGGCAGCCTTACCTACTGTGGTCAGGTTCTTGTAGGTCTCCAGCATCACATCTACGTATAGATTTTTCTGGGCTGGGTCCAGTAAAGTCCACTCCTCTCGGGTGAAGTTCACAGCCACATCAGCAAAGGTAACCAAGTCCTAAACAATCACACACAAGCTGGGTCAGTAAAGTAACATCTCCAGCAGTGTTCCCCGGGGAATGAACATGGCAGACCCTGACGGCAAGAGAAGTTTTCAAGTCTCTCATCCTCTCCCCCAGGGTGCAATGGTCCTAGGTACTCTTCCCTCTGTCTACACTCACTCATGGCTGACATCCTCCAGTTACGGCTTTAATGGAACCTCTAACACATGAGCTTATCTCACCACAACTGGACTAAAAGCTCTTCTCATCTTATTTCCCTCTTGCGGGACAGTCCCAAGCAAATTGCAGACACTTGTCAAAGCTGATGAATGTATAAATTCTTTGAGAAATGCACAGTTTCATCTTCAGTACCACAGCAGAACAGGAAGCAAAATAAAAAACATGCAACTGCTATCCTAAGAGACAATATTAGAAAGTAATTATCAAAATACTGAGATTATTCACAGGAATCAATCCAAGAGGCTCCTCTTTGGGAGGGAATTCAACAGGGACTCAGTTCTTCAGTGGCTTCATTTCTTTAAGAAACTCCAGAGACAGGTCTACCTAGAAGGAAATGTGTCTATCTGGTGGATGCAATATGTCACTTTGTAGAAGGACACACCATGTAATTACCTGAGAACTAGCCAAACAGTCGGTTACCATCCTTTCTGCCTCTGTCTTTTCCTCAGGAAGGTAGAAATGGTCCTTAGAAGGAAACCTAGGAGAAAAGAAAGAAGGCATGAGGACGCAGAGATGACCACAATTCCCACATTCACCTGCCTGGAAGTCATTCCATTCTGGCTTCAAATTCCCAAATATCCCTTCACACTCAAGAAATCTCATACAAATATACACCACTGCCATCAAATGTCAAAGGAGTCTTGTCTCACCTGGAGCCACAAAAGGGGATTGTGAGCCATGCTGCCCATCAGGAAAAGGATAATGGATTCATTTTACAGGGAGGGAAACTTGAGCCCTGAGGAATGTGACTCTTCACTCGTCAAGGCAATAAACTTCATGAATGAGATTATGCAGCCACTCTACCTGAGGCATACGTACCAGGGAGCTGACTTAGAGCACAGCATTCTCTGACCCACCTAAGCTCCTCTTAGATAAACCAGCAGTACGAGTGCTCAGGTCCAGACCAAAGGACTCTACTGTGCAGGGAGAACCTAAAAGCTGCTAAAACATTACACTCTATGAAAATCAGTAACATCAATTGTCAGTTACTGAGGACCAGCTGCACCAGATGTCTCACTAGGAGCTGACAGCTCACTTAAATACTGGGAACAAGTTGAGTATCTGAATCTACTCTTTCAACTCTAAATTTTGCACGATCTAAACAGAAATCGAATATATCTGATAAGAATTTAGTGTCCAGTCAATTTAGAACACTCCGAATTAGAAAATGATGTACACTATCTCAATTTTTTAATATTCTCTACATGGTTAACCACTTTCACTACATACATGATCTACACATTCTACTGGACAGCACTGGTCAAGATTGTTCCTGGGCATATGAAGGGAAGAAAAGGAAATCTCTTACTGGGTCAACACTCTTGATCTTCCCTTGGTGGATGCTGGAGAAGTCTGAAGCTCTGGGCCTCCTTTTAAGTTCTTATTGTTGGTTTATTCCTTCAGAAAATAATGCAGAGGTTATGTCCCTGTACTAAGCACTGAGTCAAGAGAAGTAACATACACAGAAAATGTCCTAGGCATTAAAGGTCCAACATTCCTACTGGACAATATAGACAATAAAGTAATAACTGACATACCAACTCATAACTGATACGGGAAAACAGCCAACCAGGTGAGAAAATAACGGGTGTCCCCCACCCACAAACACACATACAGAAAGATCACACATTCTGTTGGTTCCTAAACCAGAAAATGGCAGAAAAGGGAAATAACCATTACGACTTCTACATCTGACCCTAAAAAACTAGAAAGCCTACATCGACGTTTTTACAAAACAACTTAGAATACATTAAAGTACTGAAAAGCCCCCAAGTTTCTTTAGTTGTCTTTTAAAATTCTGTATTTGAAGGTTAACTTCTTTTTGTTAAAAATCAATAACCTTTCGAGCAATGTCAGCATCATGGCAGAGTAAGCTGTCCCCTTTGGCTCTCTCCTCTAAGTTCCAACCAGTAGGACATCCAAAGACCAACAAAGGACTCTGCACAGCACACCAGCATGCCCAAGAGACCCACGCATCTGTATACCTGTAGGTGGGCTGACTCAACTTCCAAGATGCCAGGAAAGCAGAGGCGAAGCGGCTGCAGCTTCCAAGATCAGAAGTTCCCACCTGAGGAGGTAAGACCTGAAACCATAAAACTCATAAAAGAAAACATAAGCACTCTTTGACACTGGTCTTAGCAGTATCTCTTTCAATATCATGTCTCCTCAGGCAAGGTGAACAAAAGAAAAAATAAACAAATGGGGCTCCATCAAACTAAAAACCTTCTATACAGGAAAAAAATAACAAAACAAAAAGACAACCTAAAACTGGGAGAAGGCATTTGCAAATCATAAATCCGATAATGAGGTATTATCCAAAATATATAAAGAACTGATAAAACTAAACAACAAAAAAACAAACCACCCAAGACAATCAAAAAATGAGCAGAGGACATGAAGAGACATTTTTCCAAAGAAGATATACAGATGGCCAAGAGACACATGAAAAAATATTCAAAATCACTAATTATTAAGGAAATGCAAAGCAAAACTACAATGAGGTATCACCTCATGCACCTCAGAATAGCTATTACTAAGAAGACAAGCTCTAACAGTGTTGGAGAGGACGTGGAGAGAAATGAACCCGCACACACTGCTGATGGGAATATAAGTGGAGCAGCCACTAGGGACATCAGTATGGAGACCCCTCAAAAAATTAAAAAATAGGGCTGGCCCCGTGCCAAGTGGTTAAGTTCGCACAGTCCGCTGCAGGCGGCCCAGTGTTTCGTTGGTTCGAATCCTGGGCGCAGACATGGCAGCGTCCCACATGCCACAACTAGAAGGACCCACAACGAAGAATATACAACTATGTACCGGGGGGCTTTGGGGAGAAAAAGGAAACCTTGCCATTTGTAACTACATGTACGGACCCTGAGTGTATTAGGCTAAGTGAAGGAAGTCAGCCGGACAATTACCATACAACTTCAGTTATGTGGAAGATAAACAAATATACACACAGCAGGGACTGGTGGTCGCCAGATGGGAAGGGGTGGGGGGAGGGTGAAAGGACTAAGGGGGCACATGTGTATTGTGGTGGATGGCAATAAGACTTCTGACGGTGAACACAATGCACTCTACAGAAGTCGAAATATAGTAATGTATGCTTGAAATTTATATCTTATAAACCAATATGAACTCTATTAAAAAATAATAACTTTTAATAAATCAAACAGAGACCAACAGGCCAAATGCTGATCTATAAATGGTGGCAACCACTGAAGTTCCACACTTCATTATCTACAAATCAATACCACCCTCACAACCCCACAGTCCCTATTCTACAGTTCAGAAGACTAAAACCCAGAAACACAAATGGTCACAAAACCTTGTGTCTAGACTCACAGTATAACTGTCCTTACTAGCAGGGGTCTCAAACTGGGGGTCCTTGGGCTCAACAGGCCCAGGAATCTGTTTAGTCAGGTGGTACCTACATAGAATCTTTTACTTTTCTTCTTATTTTGTAACCGAGATATAATTAATGTACAATTAAATACACATATCTTAAGCATTCAGTGGATGAGTTTTGACAGTTACATATACTCATATATTTACCAGCCTAAACAAGATACAAAACAGTTATCTCCCTACAAAGACTTCCAGCCCCTTCCAGTCCATTCCTTCCTCCTTGCTCTCAGAGGAGTAATTTCTAGTTCCATCAGTTACTAGACACACTATTCTGTAAATGTACCTTAGCAGTTCACACAGCATTTCCAAAGTATATCCTAATTGATTTTTCCTCTTGTTTAATATGAGTAAAACATATTAAAATCTCCCACTAGAATTGTGAACTTGTCTATTTTCCCTCCCACTTCTGCCAAGCAAACCCTTATATATTTACAACAATATTACTGAATGGATACACATTTAAATTTTTACATTTTTGGAGAAACAGAATCTTTTATCATAATGATCTCTGTAGCTGTACTACTGCTTCTTGACACTGCTGTATGACATCAGGATCAGCTTGCTCGGGAGAGGGTTTTTTAGCATGTCATGGGTAGCACTATGTCAGTTTTGGATGCCAGTGTCTGCCAGTAGAGAGTGGCACAGAGCCTGGCTCAATGAAGGCACCCAGGGATTGGTGATCAACAGACAACAGAGATCCTTCACACCACTCTTCATGTGTACCCAGATTATAGCTAAATAAGTGTTCATCACAGAATATATCTCAGTTTTCAGAAATATATTTAATTACTCTAAGGATGTAATGGTGGGAGGAACCCTGTCTTCCAAGCACTCATCCACCAGCCTCGGCTTCTCTGCACACCAGCCAGTTGTTCCCCATGGCCTCCTTATCTGGATCCTCAGCGCTCTAGGTGTTGCACTGATAGTGGCACCCGATTCCCTCTCCCCATTTACCCCCCACTCAGAGGACTTTGCATCCAGATGTTGCTTACTGTCTGCCCAGTGAGTGCTGACTATCGCTGGTCCTGGCAACCTGGCAAACTTCTTCACCATCCAATGGGCTGCCACGATATCTTCTCCAACAAGTTCTGAAGACCAGCTTGGGGAGAAGGCCCCCCTACAAGTTCAGGTTTCCTTAGAGACTTTCCATCAACTCTAGGATATCTGCTACAATTCTCCTTACATCCTCGTATTACACTTCTCTTGTTTAAATCAAAGTGTGATTTCTGTCTCCTGATTTCATGCAGACTCAGACAATTGAGAAGAACAGTGATCCCTGGGGACAAACAAGTGAAGAGGAGATTTGGGGATACATTCAGCCAAGTCTTTGGACTTGAGCAAAGAGTTGACCTTGCCAAAAGGAAAGATGATCACAGAATCACAGTATCTGCACATCTGCACCAACTTTCTCCTCACAACCCACATCAACTGTTCACTATGGCACAGCTAGCTCACTGGGACACCCAAGTGGCAAAGGGAGAGGGTAACATGGCTATTACTAAGTCACATGGAACCTCCGGTGCTTTCTGGATACCCACATTGTCAGGGGAGTCTTCTGGTCCTTTACCTGTGGAGTGATGCCAGCCCCCTAGATGCATCAGTGTCTATAAAAAGTCAAACAGGAGGGGTTACTCTGGATGTTCAGTCAGGGAATCAAAGGCCTGATCTGGGTAGGAGAAGGAACCTCCAGGTGGACTACAAAACCACTGTTTATTAACATAAACATTCGCTAATAACACAGTGAATAATAACACAGTGAATTACTGACTCAGATGAATTCCTTGAGTGAAGCTGCTATTCATAAAATTAAAACACATCCATACTTTCTCCTATTTTCTCTTGACTGACATCATTTGAATACATTTCACTTATTTTTCCTGTCAGGTAGACATTGAAGCTTAGAATCCTCCCTCAGCATTTTTCCCAACCAAATGAAAGGTCTCTACTGTCAAATCTGGCTGTCATAACCCTCAAGCCTCTTCCGTCTTTCACCCTAGAAATGTAATCGACCAAATACAGAACACTTTTTCCCATTTCCTACTCCTGTCCCTTCCAACATGGCTAACTCCTGTGCCTTGTCTTTTTATGACAAATATTTATCAATTCTCTTTCTTACCTTCACCTACCCCCATATAAGGAGAGAGAAAATAATACTGTCCTCTACTTTAGCTCCAGAACCCTAAGCAATTTGTAATACATTTATTTTCTTAGAGAGATGTTTGCCTCTTCCAATAGTTTACAAATTTCCAAAGAACTGGGTTGTATTTTTCCGTAAGCACTAATCAAGCATTCAAACATTCACTAAGTGGGGGTATAGCCTCTAGTAAAAGAATAGATGAAGGAAATGCCTGGATTCTTCCCCTTTTACCTTCTACAAAACTCCCAAATCATTTCATTTATTTTCTTTTCCATAACAATCACCTACATCTAGGTTCCATGATCGTGTTTTAAAACTTATTCATAATAAGATTCTATCTGACTCCACACCTTCACTCTCATGTTTCCTGAACTCCATTCCCAAGGCAGGAGTTAGTGGGTTCCATTTAAGTTGTAATGGATTCGAATCACTCTCCTGCTAAAACATCTCAGAAGGTTCCATGCCCTTAGAATATTGTCCAGAGAATCTCATGCCCCTGGTCCTGTCCCTGCTCTCCACTCTATCTAAACCACTCTGTTCTGCTTCTGCCAACCCTCTTTCTTCAGTTTAAGAAATACACCAAGATTGCAACTATGCTGGATTTTGCTCATCAAGTTCCCTTCACCTGAAAAGTTCTCACCCACTCTACAAATCCTCACAATCATTCAACAACCCGACTAGATCAATCCTGCTCAGGCTTTGGTTCACAACTTAAATCTCAATCCCTCCCAATATGTATTACTACCTCATATTAAGCCACTCTGATGTCCATATCACAAGCTTGTCAGTGTTCATTGAAAATCTGTATTCCCAGATAGACTAGAAGCCCCCTGGTGGCAGTACCATGCTTTGACAGCCTTTGTTTCTCTGTCCCTGGAACAGTGACCAGCTCATTGGAAGAATTCAATGACCATTTGTGGATTCTCAGACAAGTGCATTTCCTCACAAGAACGTTACAGTATAGTATGCACAAATAAAAGGAACACAAAAATAGAATTAGAAGACAAAAAATTAAATAAGAGTCACATAAAATGGTTGTACACAATATAATATTAACCAAAACACTGCACTTCTGAAAAAATATTTGAGTATTTTTACTTAGGATGAAAGTAAACAAGATATTCTTTTTGAAAACAAGTGCCTTGACGTTAAAAGCAAAATTTGTTCTGATATTTCCCCATAATTTTTAGATGTTTTTAAAAAGTTGATTCAGAAACAACCAAATGGCACAAGACCTATAGAAGAAAAGGGTAATATCCAACAGAAGTATATTTCCCCTTTGACCTAGAAATCCAAGCTGAGAAGCTTACCTGAAGATATATCTCCACAAGGGTGAGACAACAAATACAGAAGCTTACTCACTGCAGATGATTAACAGATGCTAAGACAATTATTAGCAAGCTTGATGGAAACATACTGAGTATCACAATACCACCCACAGATGACTTTCTGATTCACAAGGAAAAGTCTACCTTTAAAACAGAGCGCTCTGCTGATCACCTTAAGCAAGTGATCAAAGCTGGCATCACTGAGGGCTGGCATACACGTCTGTCTTCCCCGTGGAATGCCATTTCATGTACACATCAACTACAAAATATTTTGAAATGATCTGAAGCCTCTACACCAGGAGTTGGCACACTTTGGTCACAGGCCTGTTTGGGTAAATAAAGCTTTGTGGGAACACAGCTGTGCCCATTTGCTTCCTTAGGTCTATGGCTGCTTGCCCACTACAAAGGCAGAGCTGAGAAATTCTCACACCTTATGGCCTGCAAAACATCAAGTACTTACCACCTGGAACTTTTCAGACAAAAAGTTTGCCAATCTCTGCTCTGGACCCAATTACCAGCTGGCAGGAAATACAGGAAATGGAGGAAACATTCAAGCACACTGTGAAAATAAAATCAGAAACATCAACATATGTGACTTTCCAAAGAACACTTGTGACTTTTCTAAAACTCAATATAATGAGACAAACAATCACTGATCTAATACTAAAAAGACTTTAAGATACAAACAATTGGCATATATAAATCTTGATAGGTTCCTAGATCCAAAAACATATTTGGGAACAACGTGGAGAAGTTTAGTTTTTACACAGAGTAGATATGAGATGACATCATTATCTTTAACTTTCTTGGGTGCAATAACAGTATTGTGGTTCTAGGAGGACAATGTCCTTACCTTTAGGAGATGCATTACCAAGTACTTAAAGGACAAGTATCATGAATGCAATTTACTTTTAACACTCTAAAAAAGTTCACCATACAATGTATTTATTTATCTACAGAGGCATCAAACATACAAAATGCTAAAAACGGGTGAATCTAATACAGTGAACATTCACTCTACTGGATGTCCAAGTATTCTGTAGGTTTAAGATTTCACAAAAGAAAACTATGGGGGAAAATACACTGGGTCCAAAATCCTGTTAATAGTAAACTCAAATATTATAAAACTGGCGTTACAAAGCCTCCATCTTTTTCTCCTACAGGCCCTCGTTCTGAAGTTCTGTGCAGATGGACCGGCCTAGGAACTTCAGATGATGAGACAGCTGGGTATTCTTGCTTTTTTTTAAAAGTAAGACTTGTGGTCTACATACGTTTATATATTTACAGAGGAACATGAAATGTGAAAAAAAACAAAGTCACTTACGTCTAAGGGCTTTAAAACGGCGCTGGGAGCCATTAAGGAAATGGGTCTTACGCAAGTCTTCATGGAGCAGAACAGGAACTTTCCAACTGAGTCACCGGAAGAAACCTGCAGCTCCTCCCAGTGAGGGGCTTTGCCTCCCACTAACCGGCCTCACCGATCAATTACCTTTAGCCAAGGCAATTAGCATTCTTTGTAATGCAAACCTCCTCTCTTTAAAAGCCCCATTAACTCCCCTGGGGACACTGTTAGGGTTTCTACCTGAATCCGTGCTCCCGGAATTGCAATTCTACGATCCCCAAATAAATGCCTCTCTGATTCTCTTTTGGCGGTTTATATTTAGGTTAAGAGACCTAAGAAACTATCTTATTTTCCGTAATATTCAGAAATACAGAACGCGCCAAGACAAGGCCAAATTCCCCGGTGACATGTTCTCTCGCCCAGGAAAAGCAGCAGAGGCCCCCGAACCACTTTCCCCCGGACTCACAGCCACACGGCGGGGGCGCAGGTCCTGAGAACCGGAGGGCGCGGGGCCTCAGCAACGGAACTCGCACAGCGGAGCTGCTTCTCCTTCTGGGGAAAAGTCTCGAAGGTGACGCGGAGGCTCTGACCAGGGAAGCGGAGGGGACGCCAACGCCCCGCACGGGGCCCTTCCCGCCCCGACTCAGCGCGGGGCCCAGCGGCCGGGCGGACGAGCGGAGGCCCGGCCTCTCTACGGAGCCCCTCGGGTCCCGGGCCGCACCTGTCCTTTAACGCCCTCCGTGCGCCCAGGGCCCTCCCTTCACGGGCCGCACCGAGGACGGAGCCACAGCACGAGGACCTACGTGACTGCTGCACGAGGCGTGGAGTCCCGAAACAAAAAGACCGCGCGAACCAGTGACGCCACTTCCGCTTCCTGCCTCGGAAGTAGGGGGCGGGGCCCCAGGGCTCGGGCTGCCAATCACGTCGGTCCATTTCCGGCAGAGCAATTGTAGTTCTCCCCGCGTGGGCGCCGATGGGCCCTGGGGTCGCTCCGCGCGGGGCTGGGGGCGGAAACAGGCCCAGCAGCCCAGGTGGAGGACGGAGGCCGGCCTGTGGGCGGGGCTACGGGCTGGGGGCGGGGTCCATAACCGTAGGCGGGGTTGGAGGTGGGACCAGACCCAGGGCTCAGTTCTGATGTCGGAAGTGATTAGGTGTGGTTGGGGACTCAAGCCGCCGGGTACTCATCTAAAGGTTTTCTTCCTGCCTCTCCAGCTTCCTGGATCCCCCTGACAAGGATTCTCCAGTAATGATAGACCTGAGAATGCATGAGATAGTCTGTCTCCGCCCTTCGATCCATCTTGTATTGGAACTTTATTTCCCCTTATTTATTTTCACTTATGTTGCACGCTGCACTAAACTCTAATCATTCCTTTGTTTTCAGTGTAATGACATTTTTCTGTAAGTTTTACTTTTTTCTTCTTCAAATATGTATTTCTATCGTTTATTTTTCCTACCTTACCACGATCCAGGGCCTCCCGTACTAAATTGTGAAATAGCGCTGATACTAGACATCCTTAACTCAGGAATGGTTCTAAAATTTCTCGGGTAAATCATAAGTTTGCTGTGGGTTTCAGTGGGTGGCCTTTGTGACGTTAACAAAGGTCTTTTAAAATCCTCATTTACTAGCACATTTTACCGAGAATTGTTCATGTGCATTATTAAGTGTGTTTTTATATCTATTGAATTGATAGCTATTTTGCTCCGTCAATATTTCAACTGTTGCTGCACAAAACATTTAATTTTTATGTAGCCATGAAAGTGTTTTTCAGAAAATAATTTCTGGGTTTACTGCCTTGCCTTAAAAATTCTCTTCAAATTCTACATTACAGATTTCCTAATTTTCTTCTAAAAGTTTTTATTTTTAATGGCATTTTAATCTTTAATCTTCAGAGTGTATTTTGGCATGTGGTGTGGTACGGTAGTGGATGCCCTTATTTTTTTCCTGCAGTAAGATGGTCAATTGTTATAGTATCATTTTTGATAAACTATCCTTGACCTACTGATTTGAAATTCCACACTTATTAAACAAATGCCTATATATACCGTGTCAGTTTCTAGACTCTTCTGTGCCAGTAGTATTTACTTATGCCCATAGCACATTCTTTTGGTTACAATAGTTTTACATTAAGTTTTAATATGTAGTGGTTAAAATATAATGGTATCTAATGTTTCTTGCATCCTACTGCTCTATGTGCTTCAGAGACAAATATTTTCTGCTCCTGGTGATGTAGCTGCTATCATGATTTTCTCTTTTGTGTTTTGGAACAAATAAATTGAAAAGTAATTCACATGCCATACAATTTACCCATTTAAAACTATAGCATTCAATGTCTTTCAGGATGTTCAGAGTTATGCAACCATCACAATTTTCCAAACTTTTCATTACTCCAGAATTACTGTTTGACTGTCATGCCCCATTTTCCTACTTCCTTAACATCTAAGCTCTCGTGAATTTACTTTCTCTATATCTAGATTTGTGTTTTCAAAACATTTCATGTAAATGAAGTCATACAATCTTTTGTCAATAGTTTCTTTTTGCTTAGTATGTTTTTCAAGGTTCATATATCTTGTACCATATGTCATTCCTTTCTGTTGCTGAATGATATTCCATTGTATGGATATACCGCATTTTATTTATCTCTTCATCAGTTGATGCACATTTCGGTTGTTTCCACTTTATGGATACTATGAGTAACGCTGCCATGAAAATTCCTGTGTATCCTTCTGTGCAGACATATTTTCATTTCCTTTGGGTATTCTATCAGTCAGGGTTCTCCAGAGAAAAAGACATATGGCCCTGGACCGTATTGTAAGATCAGACAGATCATATATACACATAAAAATAATATAATGAAATTCATAAATGTATATATATAATGAATTTTATTATAAGGAACTGACTCATGTGACTATGGAGGCTGAAAAGTCCCATTATCTGCTGTCCCCAAGCTGGAGACCAGGAAACCCAGTGGTGCAGTTCAAAGGCCTGAAAGCCAGACAGCCAATGGCATAGACTCCAGACCATGTCTCATGGCCTGAGAACCAGGGGCACCAAAAGAATGGGAACATTATCCCAGCTCAAGAGTGAGGCAGAGAAAGAGAATTCAACTTTCCTCCACATTTTTGTTTTATTCAGACCCTAAATCGCATGGGATAATGCCCACCCACATTGGGGAGGACAATATGCCTCACTCAGTCTGTTGATTCAAATGCTACTCTCCTTCCAAACACCCTGATGGTCACGCCCAAAAAGAAAGTATTCCCAGATACCTAGACATTCTGTGATGCAGTCAAGCTGGCACCTAACATTAACTATCACAGGGATATACTAGGAGTGGAATTGCTGAGACCTATAGCAACTATATGTTTAACGTTGAGAAGAACTGCCAGACTGTTTTCCAAAGTGGCTGCATCATCTACAATCCCACCATCAATGGATGAGGGTTCCAATTTCCCCACATCCTCGCTAACACTTGTTATTGTCTGTCTTTACGTTTGTTTAACCATCCAGTGATGTGAACTGATATCTCACTGTGAAGATCATTTTCATTTCCCTAATATTAGTGATGTTAAGCATCTTTTCATGTGCTTGTGATCATTTCTAAATTTTCTATGGAGAAATGTCTGTTCAAATCCTTTGTTCACTTTAAAATTAGATTATTTGTCTTTTTGTTGTTGAGTTTTAAGAGTTCTTCGTATGTTCTGTATGTAAGTTCCTTATCACATACATGAATTGTAAATATTTCTCCCACCCCATGGTTGTCTTCCATTTTCTTAAGTGGAGTGTGTCCTTTGGATTACAAAAGTATTTAACGTTGATGAGCGTCCTTTGAAGTACAAAACTTCTTAATTTTGATGAAGTCCAATTTATCTTTTGTTTTTTTGGTTGCGTTAGGTATCACATCTAAGACATTGCCAAATGCAATGCATGAAGCTTTTCCCCTATTGTTTATTTAGCAGTTTTATAGTTTTTGTTCTTACATTTAGGTCTTTGATCCATTTTGAATTAATTTTTGTATATGGTGTAAGGTAAGGGACCGGCTACATTCTTTTGCAGGTGGATCTCCAATTGACCCAGCACCATTTGAGGAAAAGATTATTTTCTTTCCCCATTGAATTCTCCTGGCACCCTTCTCAGAACTCAATTGAGAATATACATGAGGGCTTATTTCTGGACTTTCAATTCTATTCCAGTAATCTATATATCTGTTCTTAAGCCAGTAACACACTGTTTTGATTACCGTAAATTTGTAGTAAGTTTAAATAGGCTGATAAGTTCAATTCAAAGAAAGAAATAAGACAAATGGAAAACATAAAATAAGATGACTAAATGAAATCCAAACTTATTACAGTTACATTATTTATAAATGGACTAAATGCTTCGATAAGTAGTAAGGATTATTAGGGTGGACTTTATAAATATCAAGATTCATGCACTAGAAGAATCTGATTTGAATACCAGCCTGCATAAAGGACAAGAGTGAGAAAATGTGAAATTTGAGTGAGGTCTATTGATTAGTTAATAGTATTTTATCAATGATAATTTCTGGGCTTCAATAATTATACTATGGTTACCTAAGATGTTAAGTTAAGCTAGGGGTAGCCCTATTTTTACAACCTCTCTGGATGCCTACTTTTATTTCAACATGGGAATTGTGTTAAAAGTCCTGATTTTAAAAGTTTCACCTCTATGATTTTTTTTAAAGATTTTATTTTTTTCCTTTTTCTCCCCAAAGCCCCCCAGTACATAGTCGTATATTCTTCGTTGTGGGTCCTTCTACTTGTGGCATGTGGGACGCTGCCTCAGCGTGGTTTGATGAGCAGTGCCATGTCCGCGCCCAGGATTCGAACCAACGAAACACTGGGCCACCTGCAGTGGAGCGCGAGAACTTAACCACTCGGCCACAGGGCCAGCCCCTATGATGTTTTTTAAAAGACATTTGAAAACTAATGATACAGTAAGATTGAGAAACAAAAGGAAAACAATATGATATAGCTACATAAAAATCTGGCAAGCAGATTTTAGTAGACAGCACTTTCTTACACTTGAAGTTACAGATTTTTCTTTCCTTTATTTTTTTATTTTTTTATTTTTTGGTGAGGAAGATGGGCCCTGAGCTAACATCTGTTGCCAGTCTTCCTCTATTTTATATGTGGGACACCGCTGCAGCATGGCTTGGCAAAAAGAGAAGGATTGGTGGTGGATGTTAGCTCAGAGCTAATCTTCCTCAAAAAAACAAACAGAAAAAAGATAGTCAAAGCCTGAACTGATTACACAATAGGAAAGAAGAAAGTCTGAAAAATAATGAGCTATGCATTTCATTTTGGAGGTAGAAAAAGAATAACAAAGTACAATCATGCATCACTGAATGATGGGGATCCGTTCTGAGAAGTGTGTCATTAGATGACCTCATCATTGTGTGAACATCATAAAGTGCACTGACACAAACCTAGATGGTATCAACTACTACACACCTAAGCTATGGTACCAATCCTAGGAGAGCACTGTCAGATATGTGGTCCATCCTTGAACAAAACGTCATTATGCGGGGCATGACTACATATGAAGTTTGGATTTCCATTTGGTCAAATCATGGATCTCTTTTAATTTACAGTTTATATGCAATTTTTTATTCTGCAGCTATAGAAAAATATACATATACATATATACATCATATAAACACAGACACAGCTGTATATAAATTTCGTAGCTAACCGTTGCTTTCTTCCCTGGTATCTAGGGGTTTATCTGTCATAGTTGTTTTTAAATCAGTAAGTAATATACGACCAGCACTGTTTGCTGGACCTGATATTTTCTTAATACATAAGATTTCAAGGTTCCTTTTGGGGAGGG